ACACACACATATAATAACATTCAAATACAAAAAATAGTAACATTCAATATTAAAAGTAACATACACAACAAAAAATAGTAACATAAAAAAAGATATTAACATGCACAAAAAAAAAAAAAAAATAACATGCACACCAACTCGACCGAGGCCTCTGTCGTCCTTTAAAACCTTCAAAATCACTTTCTCCCTCTTCTCAGTATACACCACCACAAAACAACCATGGAGTCATGGTTAGACGATCTCTCCGACAACCTCCAAAGCATTAGCTTCAACTTCACCACCACCAATATCAACCAGTCCACCTCCTCCGGCTCTGAAATCATTTAGTTGGCCAGCAACATAATCCAAGATCCTTTCACCGACTTTTTCACTGGAAACTTCGATTGTCGGCGAAGATATTTGACCAGAGACGACGATAGCTACGAGAAACAGAGTCGTGGAGACCAGAAGAGGCCAAAATCCCAAGAAAGCTTGACGTAACATAAATGAGAAAGATGACTAGAGATAAAATGGAGGCAAATAAGATGTGGGATTTGAATTTCAAAATCTTTTCTAGGATCTCCCAAGGGAGGTCGTGTATTTATCTATAGTTAATAGACATAGATAATAGTATACATATAGATAAGAGGTGCTATACTTTTAGTTTTGGTTTAATGGAGTCTGCCAAGGAAACAGAGAGAGAGAGAGAGAGAGAGAGAGAGAGAGAGAGAGAGAGAGAGAGAGAGAGAGATGGTAATGATGTCTAATTTAAATTTGAATTTCAAATTTTATGAAATTTTTTTTGTGAATCAAGATGTCTAATTTAAATTTGAATTTCAAATTTTATGAAATTTTTTTTGTGAATCAAGAGATAACTGTTTAGGAATCTGATTTAATGTTGAAGATTGCTTTTAAGTCATTAGAAGAATATTTTGAAGTTTTAAAAAACTAGTAGACTTAACTACTTATTTGTAAGATTAAAAACATACTTATCCTCAAATAAATTTTATTGATGGACTAAATTCAGTATAAGTTCCTTAAGTAGGACTCAACCTCAATTTACACTGAAAAAATAGGCCTTGTTTTTAAATATTTGACAACTACAAGTAGTCTAGATGAATTTTCTTTTTTCAAAATTGAATTATCAAGAATTTTGCTTTCTAATAGTGTTTTTTGTCTCTGTTTTTTAATTTGTGGTGTGGGGCATGTAACCTAATTCGATAGAATTGGTATAATAGTGAATAAATGAAAAATAAACAATAATAGCAATAAATTCATATAGATTGTGTTATTGAGACTAAAAAAATTGACCTTATGGAGTTCCAATAAAAAAGTCTAAGAGGAATAATTCTATTGAGACCTAAAAATTAACCTAATGATTTAGCAATGAGATAGTACCATAATGTTGTTATGACTATAATTGTTGGACTTCTTCCTTAGATCTCTATTACTTGACGTATCATTATATTAATAAATTATGTCAGGTTTTTAAATCCCAATAACATTACTCGTTCAAGATTTAGACTTAATTTATTTACCTAATGATGTTATTTTGTTCTAGTTATTAGATTAACACCACGTGATTAGTGTTTGTTCAGGCCCACGATTAATTCAAATGTTAGAGTGAATTGGGTCAATAAATTAGGTTAATAGATTAGGTCCAAATAATATTATTCCATAATAATACTACTGAATTATGTCATTGTCACATCATTAAATTAACAAACTAGATCAATTTTTTAAATTTTAATAACATTAGTGGTCTATAGAAGAAACTTCAATGTTTCAGTTTTAGTTCTCAATAAAGCCTAAAGGAACACTCAACTAGGACTTGCTTACAAAAACGTGTCAAACTCTCTTGGTTGCACTACAGACCCAAAAATGTCTATTTATAACATTCAGATTGGTGATTATAAGCCCAATCGCCTAGACAATTGCATGGTAGTTCAAATTTACCCACAAAGCCACCCACGGTCTTCTGATGATGGTTAAGTCTCTCCGCCACTCCCACATTTACTGGTCATGATAAGGGGCAGTTGTAACTATTGGCTGACCCATCAATCAATTGCCCTTAAGTACTATGCATGCTGAGTGCACATGCCCGCAACCTTCATGTTGTGCACATGTCAATATTCTGCACAAAACTGCCCTTGTAAGCCGTGCACATGTCAGTATTCCGCACAGAACTGCCCCTGTATGCCATGCACATGCCAGCAACCGTTTGGAATCACCACCATTTGCAGGGCACATGTCACAACCGTTCAGAACTGCCTCACTTGTTGTGCACCTGCCTTCCTTGCGAGCCCACAATACCTTATTAGCCTTGTCTTTGTGTCTAGTCATGCCTAGCCCATGGCTTGGTCTTTCAAGCTAGCATTGCTCCCACACATCGAGCCACCCAACAAGCCTTTGCTTGCATGCTTGCTTGTGCCCACGTGCTCACGCATTAGCTGTTACGCCCAACCGTGCATGCTATGTCCAATCGTGCCCATGCATGAGCTGCCATCCTCAACCATGCATGGGTCTTCAATTCACCCACTAGTCATGCTCAATGTGCCCATGCATGTGCTGCCTCCCTTAGCCATGCATGGGGCTTTCGCCAACGACGGGTTCCCTCTGATCATCGACCTTGCATTTCGGGTCTCAGACTTTGGAATGCCTTGCCTCCACCCATAGCAAGCATTTATTGGGGTCGTGCCTTGTTTCCAAGTGCCAAGTCTTAGGGGCATAAGGGTCCTTGGGGAACCTGGCCTGACAATCCTTTGCAAAGCACCCCTTATAATAGTGTTATGAAGTAAAAACGCAGTGACAACAGTAGATGTACTTTGAGTTGATGAGTCATAACAACCTAAGCCTAGGGCATAGTCATTGCATGCTGTTGGAGGCTTTGCCAAACCATTTTATCCCAACATAATACAAGTTCAAGTCCTCTAGGAAGCATCTTTTGCACCAAGGGTTTGTTTCCTCAAGCGAAACCCAATTTGGCTAAGGCATAGGCGCCTTTGGGCGAGGCTACCCCATGCCAACGCTGAGCCAAAGCTAAGTGGGTAACACCTACGTAACTGGAAAAGCACATGCACAAATTTAAGATCCTCTTCCTGTTACCATCCATTATGAAAAGCTAAATAAGATAACATCTTTCATTAAAAAAAAAATAAGATAACATCTGTATTAGAGAAAATTTTATCCACACCTCTTATAGAATACATTATTTTCAATAAAATCTCTTGTATCTTCTTAAATTTTACTTGACACCTCTTGTCACTGTTTATCCCTTAATAGAAATAGCAGAACTATCTATTTTCCCGATTTTCCATTTATCTTTATACAAATCTATATAGCAATTGTTCTTATTTATTTATGAACACATACTTACACATATATTTATACATATAATGTATAGACTTATTTAAGGTAAAATTCCTCCTCGCCATCAACTCCAGCTCGTATGCCACCCTCCCACAAACTCCCAGTTCCTCTGCCACCCTTTCCACCCACTTTGTCCTCCTCAACTCTTAACTCCCGATCACTCTCCACCCCATTACACACCTTTTCTCTTTAATATTGCATCAAATCCGGGGTGCACTTCCAAGTTGGATGAATTAGAGTTTACCATTAGAGGGAGACTGTGTTTAGATGATTAAGCTGAATATTTGTATGTTATCACTAAGAATTGCTTCAATCCTCATTTTTCAACTTCAATCCTTAATCTTTAACTTTGGGTGTAAAGTTTGAGAGATTCATTGGAATGGGTTTATAGCTTCAAGTTGGTGTGTGTAAATTTGCTTTCTTCGTTTGCCTCTTGGAGGCTACCCAAGATGGTTCTAATTGGATTAGTCTATTATTCATTAAGGTTTCCGTCAAAGTTGCAAAAAATCTCATTGAAGATAAGGTAATCTATAGAAAATGTGGATGAAGTTTACCCTCTGCATTTATTATGGACCACAAGCAACATTGATANGTAAATTTGCTTTCTTCGTTTGCCTCTTGGAGGCTACCCAAGATGGTTCTAATTGGATTAGTCTATTATTCATTAAGGTTTCCGTCAAAGTTGCAAAAAATCTCATTGAAGATAAGGTAATCTATAGAAAATGTGGATGAAGTTTACCCTCTGCATTTATTATGGACCACAAGCAACATTGATATGTTGAGTGCTCAGCACATGTGAAATTCATTGAAATTTTTTAAACCATACATATCATCTTATAATCTCATTGGGACCATCCATAACTACTACTACCCAAAGATACTGACACTAAATAACTAGTACACATACATTAAAGATTGGAAGTGGGTTCCTACAAATTAAATGGACATTCTTCACTGAATCAATTAAGTGACAGCAACATGTTCTTCTTTATAAAATATTATATTATATTTATTTCTCTAATTTTTTATCATTCCATTTTTTCATATTATGTACAAAAAGCAAGAGAGTTTTAAAGTCCCGGTTCTTTTAGTGAAAAGAAAGACATTGCTACCGGCAAAAAAAAAAAAAAGAAAAGAAAAAGAAAGACATTGCTTATTGTAGCACGTAGGCAAGTGTACATCCCATGTTGACCATGGGCTGTTCGGAATTGACTTAGAAAATCATTGCCCTGCTGGCTCAACTAATCCACTAAGCATTTTCATTTCTTTAAACGTTTGTTGACGTAGACCTTTCATGGCAATACAATAATCACATTATCTATTTATACAGCTCTCCATTCATCAAAATCTCACTCCAAACATAAACTTGTTAGAGAGAAACATCAGAAATTCAACAGAGCCTTTCGTGTTCTTGTTAGGGAGAGAGACTTTGAAACCTAAGTTTTCTGCTAAAACCATGTCTGCCACAGGATCAATCGTGTCATACAGATACAGCTTGAGTAGTGTTTTTCCTGAAACTTCTCGAAGACCTTCATTCCTTAACCTAAACAACAGGTTAAATACATCAGCACCCATTTATCAGCAAGATTTCACTGCGATTCGCGCATTATTTTCCGGTAGAATAGACAGGATGGTTCACAGTAAAAATGGCAAGAGGTAATTCTTTATGTTTTGGTTCAGCTTCTATATGAATATACCTGGACTGATGCGTCTGGTTCTTCATTATCATCAACTGCATATAGAGATACCTATTCCAATAACATTAATGTTAGACTGATCAAATATTGGGATCAAATTTGAAGCTCAAATGACATGACAGTTTATTGATTGGTGTTATGTCATTTAAGTCCCAATAAAAATTTCAAANATCAAATTTGAAGCTCAAATGACATGACAGTTTATTGATTGGTGTTATGTCATTTGAGTCCCAATAAAAATTTCAAATAATCACTTGCCAAAATTTGGTCAGTCTAACATTACTCTTCTAATAATCTGAATATCGTGTGATGAGCTCATTGTACACTGCCTTTTTTCTGCTCTTTGCTTCTGTTTTTTTTTTTTTGGGGGGAGGAAGAAACTGTTATTGTAGATTTATAGACCATAAAATGTAGATGTGCTAATATTAGCTCTATTATGATTGGCACCCTCTTCAATATAAATCCCTTTAATTTTAATTAAGANGAAACTGTTATTGTAGATTTATAGGCCATAAACTGTAGATGTGCTAATATTAGCTCTATTATGATTGGCACCCTCTTCAATATAAATCCCTTTAATTTTAATTAAGAAATTTAATGAGCCTTGGTCCACACAGAGGGTTGGATAAATTATTAGCTGGCATCGTTAATGGTGAACTTCCGCAGCTATATATATTTCTTAAGGCCAAATAGGCATAATCTCATGCTTTCCACATTTTTATATTTCGCTTCAGTTGTCATTTGTCATTTGTTTTCCATCTCATCATATAAAACATTATTGAAAGACCATAAGATCTAATGTTAATCCTAAAATTAAATTCTATACCTCTTACTAATTTTATCATTATTGATCCAATGTAGGAACTTTGTTGTCCACAACAGTGTTCAACCAGGAGCTCCAATCCCTTCTGGAAAGCCTTCAAATCCTTGGTATAGCCCCTTTGAAATACGATATCACAATCAATCCAATTGAGTTAATGTGCTAAGATTTCTTGCAATATATAACAGGACTTCCTGGTTATTGGGAATGTTGTTATCGATAGCCTTGCCATTCTGGAGACAGGGATTGACTCCATTACAAGCATTAAGAAGTAAGTTCAAGTCCGTTTATAATTGGGTCGAAAAATTTCAATGTTTACCAATCGAGGATTACAACTTTATAAGTGATTGTGAATCAGATGTATGGTTTTTACATGATTTTCATATAGTTTGTATTGTTATTTTGATGAATAGATAAAGTGGATACGATCGTAGAAACTGTTGAATTAGTCGTCGATGTGGTGGAGAAGGCAGCCGAGGAAGTGGAAAAGGTTGCAGACGAAGTTGCAGAAAAACTTCCTGAGGGTGGACTCAAAGCTGCCGCGGGTTTGATCGGAGATATTGCGGAAGAAACTGCTAAGGATGCTCGTATTGCTGGCGACCTAATTGACAAGGTATAACCAACCACAAGTTGAATTTTTGTCTTAATTGCTCCCTTTTTTAAAGAGCAATGTTAATTAGACAAAAAATATTGACTTCCAATATTATTGTCCTTGATTTAACTATGAGTCTTAGTATTTATTAGATATCACTATATATTCAATGATTGTAATGAAGGGAATTAGTAAAAAATATCAATATTTTTTGTTCAAATTATTTTTCTCGTTTCTAAATTTGTCTCTATAGACCATATTATGTGCATTGCTTTTGTATTTGTAGCCACCTTTTCTTATTTAAGTACTAGGTTTTTTAATGATATGTAACGTTTGATTACTATAACAATGAAATCTGAGTTGATTACATACTCAAAATAAGAGTAGGAATAAGACTTCCAAAGAGAGAAAAATAAGATTACAATACAACCTTCAAAAGGAGAGACAAAAANGTAGGAATAAGACTTCCAAAGAGAGAAAAATAAGATTACAATACAACCTTCAAAAGGAGAGACAAAAAAAAGTTTGATCTCATCAAACTTGCATTTGAAAGGGATTAATCCCCTCGCCCGAACCTCCTAATTGGGAGTCAACGGTGGCCAATTAAGCTAGACACACATGATTGCAAGGTAGATGACAAAAATAACACTTGTAACAATTGCAAGGTAGATGACAAGTATCTTATTTTCCAATTAAGAGATTTGATGCTTAAACCTTAAATTTGATATGCAAAAATCGCTTAGAATCATTATCTCCTTATGTTAAGAGCTGGCTACAAGTTATATAAATGCAAGTTGAAAAAGTTACTAATTGGGTGTTGTAAATGCAGGTGGAGGAGGTGCAGAAAGAGGTTGAATCCTTCTTTGAAACAGTCAAAAATCAAGAAAATGAGGCCCCAAAGGAAGCCAGTGAAAGTAATTGAAACAGTTTCTGATCAATGTGAATATTTGATGTAAAGTCAAAATTAAGAAACGCGTGAAAACTCTAATAGTTTATTATGATTGAATTATATTCTTTGTATTCTTTTGATTCCCATAGTCATAGATCAAAACAACCTTTATAATATTTTATGAATGTATGACGTGTCCCACCGACAAAATGAGTATATGAACAATTATTTTTTTCTCACTTTTTTGAACTGTCAAACCATTGCCCTTGCACTGTGATTTGAATCATCTAAAATATATTTTTATAATTTATTTCAAATCTAGATTATGTATCAGAAGAAATCTGAGTGTGATTCATTGTATTTAAATAAGTCTATCGTGAATACTCTTGATCCCAAAAATTGTTGACCAAGCGACTATTTGAAATGATGACTTGAAAACCGACAAGAGTATTCTTGTAAGGGAAGTCGAAGATTGGAGGGGCTTTAGTTGTCGACTTTTCGATGATAAAATCATAAAAGGAATGGTGGAAGAAAACTGTATTTAGTTGGGAGTAATCAATTTACTTGGATAAGGTCAAACGTATCCTTTTTATAGGTCAAAGAATTGGACCATTGGAAGATCCTCAATAGCTAATTGAATGAGGCAACACTAAAAGTAGAATAGAGCTTGGCGCCCTCTAGCGTGAATATCTCAATTGGTTTGAATTAATCAAAGTGCACCGAGCTAAGGAGTTGTCAAGCTAGAGTGTTGGCGAGCAAGAAATCGAGGTCCTTTTTGAGCCACAAAGCTCATCCATTGAGTAGCAGAGCTCGTGTCTAATCCACCATTATCAGTTGCCCCCTAATTCAAACCAGTGGATGACACGTGTCACGAATTTATTTAGAAATGGAAAAAGTGGAAATGAAGGTCGTGCACACACAACCACCAGAGAGTCGTTGTGGGTCCTATATACAAAACCTTATTTCCTTTTGCTACGTAGCACATCTTTGAGAGCTCTAGGAAGTCTGGTACTCCCTTGCCTCTTCGTCTCTATCTCTTTTCATTTTTTGTTTCATTGTAACTCCTCACCTTGGAGCATATAGGCTGGAGCCATATCTTTCAGTTTCACTTATATCGTTTTTGATTCTTAGGTGGAAGAACTTCAATCTTGATTATCTTGAATCCTTTGTTGATAGATCTATTTGAGCTCGGCTTGAATCTGCACTTCATTTTCCTCTTTCTTTGATTGTTAATAGCCTCAATCTTCCCCTTCCACCAAATTTGCACATCAATCACCATAACTTTCCTATTATGGGAATTGATTCTGAGCATACCCCTCCTAAAAGCACTCCGGCGTTAGTGGCCCAGGACAACTCAACCAATGAGGACTCTGACTCCATTCTAGAGATTGGCTCCTTGTCACTTAAGGTCATTAGGGCCAAGAACTATTGTAGTTGCCTGGATGAGGATGCCACTTCAAGAAATTAGGGCAGTATATCGCTCCTCGATTTTGTGCGCCTTAGGGTCCCTTCTTCTTGTGAAATTGCCAATTTTTTTTTGCCCCATGAAGTCTGCTCTTATGAGTCTATCTTCGAGGCTGGACTTCGCTTTCCAATGCCTATATATATATATATATATATGGCCCATCAAGTTGGATTGAATCCAGGGATAACACCCTTTTCCTTGAGAATCCTTGAAGGTGAGTTCTCACTTCAAGCTTGTCTCTGCCTATATCCATTTTGTCGAAGGCAGATGTGCAGATGATGTCGACAGAGCTCCCATTATCAATTAGAACCCAATGGATGCTAGCAACCCTCCAAATCTACATCTGAAAAAGTAATGTCCATGCTCAGTTGAGGTGCTTTGGACATAACCTGCACCTCCAGCACCTCCTCAGTTATGACCTTGCAGATGTGAGCCTTTTTGGCTGAACTGTACTCCTCACTTCCAGCAAATCCTGCAGATATTACTCTGACATCTCCCAAAGGTTGCTGATGCTGTGCAAGAATTTGTTGCTGAGGTGATGTAAGTGGGTGAGCTCGGTTCCGATTATTTTGCTCCACAAAGCGGCGCAGTTGTCCTTGCTAAATTAGGAACTTGATCTCATTCTTTAACTGGATACAGTCGTCAGTAAGGTGGCAATAGTCTCTGTTGTACTCACAATATGTCGTTGCATCCCTTTTTACGGGATCTACCTTCATCTGTGGTGGTCATCTTAGAAACCTTTCGTTCTGCACCTCATAGAGGACTTGTGACATAGTGGCGGTGAGGGAAGTGAATTGCCGAGGTGCAAACCTTGGCTACAACTCTTGCTATAAACCTGTCTCCTTTTCTGGGAGCGGTCCTTGTCTCTTCGTAGAGACCTGTCTCGACTTCTCTCCTTTTTGGGACTTCGGTCCCTCTTTTTCTCCTTCTCCTTGTGCGTGGATGAGCTCCCTACTTTGGAAAGAAGAGCTTCCTCACCGTTGATGTACTTCTCTGTCTTGTCAAGGACTTCTACCATACTGGTTTGCAAATTTTTTAGAGATGGAGAACATCAAGTCCTTTGATTGGACTCCCAACCTAGCAATGAAGGCAGTCATAGCGATTTTTTCATCATGGACGTTAACTTTTAAAGATTTTGAGTTGAATCTCTTAACATAACTTCTCAGGTTCTCATTGGGTCCCTGTTTTACATTCAACAAATGGTAGTTCGGCTTTCGGTAAGTCCGAGCTCTTATGAAGTGTGAAACAAATGAGATGGAGAGCTCTCTGAAGGAAGAGATGGATGTCAGGGTCAGCTTGTTGAACCATGCTAAGGCTGAACCCTTTAAAGTGATAGCAAAAGCTTGGCATCGTATTGGGTCCTAATACCTATGGAGCTCCATTTGGTTCTTGTAGGTATTGAGGTGGTCAATGAGATCCTTTGTCCCATCAAAGGTCTCCATCTGAGGCATTTTGAACTTCGTAGAAGGGGGAAGTGCAAAACCTTAACGGTAAAATGCGACTCAGTTTGTTGAACTAAGACATCCATGGTTATTGGAGTTTTGCCTCTAACAACTTCTTTCATATGGCTGAGCTCTTGTTGGATGTCCTTGAAACACTGCTCCCAATATTGTTCATTCCTTTCCTGTTGGAATAGAAAAAATTTATTTTTATGAATTCCCCTATTCTGACTTTGTACTTCATCATTGTCTTCGTTCTTGGGGACTCGACAATGGGCATTGCCCATGGTCTAGCAATGCTCGTCCCCTTCAGTAACGTCCTTTAGGGGGTTGATCTAGGGCTGGTTGTGCCATTTGGGAACGTTGAAGAATACTTACCAATTCTTCATTCTATTGGAGGAAACACTAGTTGGATAGGCGAAGGGCCTCAAGCTCATTGCTCGGAGGGGAATCCATCATGAGAGGATCAATTTTAGCGTTGGGCAAGAAATCATGAAGATTTTCCTGCTGTCTTCTGCTAGCAGCTTCTTGCTGGTTCTGTAATTGGAGAGGATTCATCTGACTTCTACTCATATTGCGTGTAGAAATCATCAATTACTGAATAAAATCAGTATACTTTTTATAGGAACAATCGTTCTCACAAACGACGGCAATTGATGATGTATGTAACACGATTAAGAAGAATGGGGAATGCTAAGTGTACTTAAGGATTCAATATGAGCTTCAAGGCTCTGAGGAATAAGATTTTGAGAAGGGGATCGATTATACAGAAAAATTATAGCGGTTCACCAGTTCGGGAGCTCGGCTAATCCATTCTTCAATGGAATNATATGAGCTTCAAGGCTCTGAGGAATAAGATTTTGAGAAGGGGATCGATTATACAGGAAAATTATAGCGGTTCACCAGTTCGGGAGCTCGGCTAATCCATTCTTCAATGGAATCTCTTGTACCTGGGGAATATATTGATAAAAAGGGAAAAATTACACAGTATTTTGGTAAAGCTAAGATTTCTTGCTTCCTGTTGAGAGCTTTGCCTATTATTTATAACTGATTCTGAGCCTAGCCAGATCTAAGGTGAGATCTTTGCCTCTTTCTCATAACGGTCGCTTTAATTGTGCAACGACTGTGGGGTGTGATGGGGCGGTTACGAATCTGGTGCCTGGATAAGCGACTGTTGCTATTGAAGGGGTTGCTTAGTGAGCGCCAGTTGTCTTCCACACCACCTTCCTTGAGGTGCGAATTGAGGGAGCTTGAGGACTGGAGTAAGGATCTCAATGAGGTTGGGCTCCCGACTTGCAAGGCTAGGCTAGATAAACCGAGCTCAACCTTGGGCATATCCTAGGTATCATCATTTTCATTCCTTATTTTTCAATTTCAACCCTTAATCTATAAATTTGGGTGTAAAGTTTGAGAGATTCATTGGAATGGGTTTATAGCTTCAAGTTGGTGTGTAAATTTGCTTTTTTTGTTTCCTNGGTGTAAAGTTTGAGAGATTCATTGGAATGGGTTTATAGCTTCAAGTTGGTGTGTAAATTTGCTTTTTTTGTTTCCTTCTTGGAGATGAACCAAAATGTTTCTAATTGGATTAGCCTTTTTTTTTTCACCTCCTTTGCCTCTTTTAAGAATGCACTAGGATTTTGGTCAAAGTGAAATGTTTTTCTACATTCTCATTCTCAAGATTCAAGTTTGAATCTCGTTCAATCCATAAATACGTGCAATCCCACCTCCAATTGAGACCACTCGACTGATCTCATCAACTTGTGATACTTTAGTCTCCTCTAATGTTTCGGCAAATCAACTCCACTCGTAACACACATCTCTATGCGAAACAAAATATGGCCCCTAAGTTCTCCGAATACGGGATCATAAGGGTACATCGTGGAGGCCCTCGTGAAGCTCATTCCTAAATGTGATTGGAACTCCACAAGAATTTATGACAACACTTTAGCTTTCATGTCTCTTCTTAACGTGAATCATTGGCAATGAAATTGGTCACAAAGTACTAGAAGTTCAAAAATTGTTCTAAATATTAACAAATCAAGACTTAAGACTTTTGGAGTTTTTTTGACTTGGGGTGAGAATTGAAAGTTTTAGTGGTAGGATAGTGGTAGTAATGTTGATGGTGATTTGTGTGGATTGGATCTAGGGAAAGATTTGAAAGAAAAAGGGTAAAATTGGTGTTTAAAAAATATATAGGCATGACACCAACACTTTTTAGATTGTTAGCAACTATTGGCTACGGTAGGGGGTATTGATAAAGTGGACACATACACCAGAAAAGAGTGCAATAAAATTTTAGAAGATGCAAGGAATCTCATTTAGGATAAGATAATCTACAGAGAATGTGGATGACGTTTCCCCTCTGCATTATTATGGACCACAAGCAACATTACTATGTTGAGTGCCCAGCTTATGTGAAATCGGAAGTTTTGAAACCATACATATCATCTTATAATCTCATTGGGACCATCCATAGATTGGAAGTGGGTTCCTACAAATTAAATGGACATTCTTCACTTATGCTCCCNGGAAGTTTTGAAACCATACATATCATCTTATAATCTCATTGGGACCATCCATAGATTGGAAGTGGGTTCCTACAAATTAAATGGACATTCTTCACTTATGCTCCCTTTGGTACAATGAAAAAGTGAGAGGATGAAAAGTTGGAGAAATAAATAAAACATCACGTTTGGTAAAGAAAAAAAGTAGAAAGGATGAAAAAGTGGATGAATTAACTTTCTTTCCAACTTATCAAAATTAATCCCTCCAAAATCAGAAGGAAAGTGGATGAAAAGTTAATTATTTGTGTTGAGATGTATTTTATTTGTCTATATATCTTATATATACATTAATTTCATATAAAAATACAATGGTAAAATATATATATTTTAAAAAATTTTAAAAATAAATTTTTTTAAAAATTAAAAAATTAAAAAATAAAAATTTTAATTAAAAAAAATATTTTTTTCATCTTAACTATGAGTGAAAATTTTCGACTCAACACGATGACACGACTCAAACTCGATACGAAAATTAGCAAGTCAACTCGCAACTCGACACGACACAATTAGTTAAATGAGTTAAGTTAAGTTTGACTAGTATTCAACACAAACTCGTAATGACTCAACACGAATCTGACACGATACGATTCGACTTGATTGTCACCACTAATCTTAGTCAGCAAAAAAAAAATAGTAATTTTTATTTTCCATCCATTCAACCAAACACAAAGGAAGAAAAATGTATCCTTCTTATTTTCCATCCTTAAAGAATAGAAAGTGTATTCATCCTACTTTTTATCCTCCCTACCAAACAGAGCATTAATCAATCAGGTGACAGCAACACGTTGTGATGAAAATGGATCAAATTCAGCTAATATTTCAATTGATTCCAAATCTGTTTAAGTCGTTCGACCCAAATATCCAACATTTTTTTTTGACTCAATCTATCAAATTAACTATAAAATCAAAAGTCTGATCCAATCAGAATGACCCTATTAGCGTTGGATATTTGCAAATTACACTAATTCAAATCACTGTCATAAAGAAACCAACGAGTTCATTATGTATTTATTTATACCGATCTAATACCTTCATATTATCGATTAAAAGTATTAATCACTTTAAACTATAGCGGCGACCTAGTAGCCAAACTGTTTTTGTCACTAAAATATTTAGAGACTTGATGGTAAAAAGAATGGAAAGGAAGAAAGATTGTTTTTTTTGTGTTTGATAAGACAGAAAAAAATATATTTTAATTTTAATTTTTTTTATTTTTATTAGAAAAAATATAATTATATATTTTTTTATTATATCTAAATATAANGTACGACCTTGATGGTAAAAAGAATGGAAAGGAAGAAAGATTGTTTTTTTTGTGTTCGATAAGATGGAAAAAAATATATTTTAATTTTATTTTTATTAGAAAAAATATAATTATATATTTTTTTATTATATCTAAATATAAAATTAATATATACATAATATGTAATTGATAAATATAAGATATATATATATATTAACAATATATAGACATAATATATATTTTAACACATATAATTAATTTTTCATCCATTTTTTCTCTTAACTTAAAAATAATTAATTTTAATGAGTTAAAAAGAAAGTTAATCTATTTATTTTTTTTATCATTCTTCCACCTTNCAACAATATATAGACATAATATATATTTTAACACATATAATTAATTTTTCATCCATTTTTTTTCTTAATTTTGAAATAATTAATTTTAATGAGTTAAAAAGAAAGTTAATCTATTTATTTTTTTTATCATTCTTCCACCTTTTTATGTTTCTATTTTTTTTATAATCGTACGAAACGAAGCAACAAAGAAAGACATTGCTTATGTAGCACGTGGGCTACTATATATTCCATGTTGACCGTGGGCTTAGGAATTGACTTAGAAACCCATTGCCCTGCTGGCACAACTAAAGCATTTTCATTTCTTTNTATAATCGTACGAAACGAAGCAACAAAGAAAGACATTGCTTATGTAGCACGTGGGCTACTATATATTCCTTGTTGACCGTTGGCTTAGGAATTGACTTAGAAACCCATTGCCCTGCTGGCACAACTAAAGCATTTTCATTTCTTTAAACATTTGTTGAGGTAGTCCTTCCACTGTACAATAACCACATTATCTATTTATACAGCTCTCCATTCATCAAAATCTCATTACAAACTTTAACTTGTTTCAGAGAAACGTCAGAAATTCAACAAAGCCTTTCGTGTTCTTGTTAGCGAGAGAGAGAGAGAGATTGAAACCTAAGTTTTCTGCTAAAACCATGTCTGCCACAGGATTAATCGTCTCATACAGATACAGCTTGAGTGGTGTTTTTCCTGAAACTCCACGAAGACCTTCATTCCTCAACCTACACAACAAGTTAAATACATCAGCACCCATTTATCAGCAAGGTTTCACGGCAATTCGCGCATTATTTTCCGGTAGAATAGACAGGGTGGTTCATAGTAAAAATGGCAAGAGGTAAGTCTTTATATTTTGGTTCAGCATCTTACATGAATATACCTGGAATGATGCGTCTGGTTCTTCATTATCATCAACTGTATATAGAGATACCTATTCCAATAATCCGAATATCGTGTGATGAGCTCATTGTGGACTGCCTTTTTTCTGCTCTTTGCTTCTTCTTTTTTTTTTGGGAGGAAGAAACTGTTATTGTAGATTTATAGGCCATAAACTGTAGATGTGCTAATATTAGCTCTATTCTGATTGGCACCCTCTTCAATATAAATCCCTTTAATTTTAATTAAGAAATTTAATGAGCCTTGGTCCACACAGAGGATTGGATAAATTATTAGCTAGCATCGTTAATGGTGAACTTCCGCAGCTATATATATTTCTTAATGCCAAATAGGCATAATCTCGTGTATTCCACATTTTTATATTTCGCTTCAGTTGTCATTTGTCATTTGTTTTTGATCTGATCATATAAAACATTATTGAAAGACCATAAGATCTAATGNATTGGATAAATTATTAGCTAGCATCGTTAATGGTGAACTTCCGCAGCTATATATATTTCTTAAGGCCAAATAGGCATAATCTCGTGTATTCCACATTTTTGTATTTCGCTTCAGTTGTCATTTGTCATTTGTTTTTGATCTGATCATATAAAACATTATTGAAAGACCATAAGATCTAATGTTAAACCTAAAATTAAATTCTATACCTCTTACTAATTTTATCATTATTGATCCAATGTAGGAACTTTGTTGTTCACAACAGTGTTCAACCTGGAGCTCCAATCCCTTCTGGAAACCCTTCAAATTCTTGGTATAGCCCCTTTGAAATACAATATCAAAATTGAGATGACTTGTTCTTTTTATCTTCTGTATTTTATCTTCCCACTTGAGTNAGGAGCTCCAATCCCCTCTGGAAACCCTTCAAATTCTTGGTATAGCCCCTTTGAAATACGATATCAAAATTGAGATGACTTGTTCTTTTTATCTTCTGTATTTTATCTTCCCACTTGAGTTAATGTGCTAAGATTTCTTGCAATATATAACAGGACTTGCTGGTTATTGGGAATGGTGTTATCGATAGTCTTGCNTGGAGCTCCAATCCCTTCTGGAAACCCTTCAAATTCTTGGTATAGCCCCTTTGAAATACAATATCAAAATTGAGATGACTTGTTCTTTTTATCTTCTGTATTTTATCTTCCCACTTGAGTTAATGTGCTAAGATTTATTGCAATATATAACAGGACTTGCTGGTTATTGGGAATGGTGTTATCGATAGTCTTGCCATTCTGGAGACAGGGATTGACTCCATTACAAGCATTAAGAAGTAAGTTCAAGTCCGCTTATAATCGGGTCGAAAAGTTTCAATGTTTACCAATCGAGGATTACAACTTTATAAGTGATTGTGAATCAGATGTATGGTTTTTACATGATTTTCATATAGTTTGTATTGTTATTTTGATGAATAGATAAAGTGGATACGATCGTAGAAACTGCTGAATTAGTCGTTGATGTGGTGGAGAAGGCAGCCGAGGAAGTGGAAAAGATCGCAGACGAAGTTGCAGACAAACTTCCTGAGGGTGGACTCAAAGCTGCCGCCGTTTTGATCGGAGATATCGCGGAAGAAACTGCCAAGGATGCTCGTATTGCTGACGACCTAATTGACAAGGTATAATGATATTAAACGGTTGATTACTATAACAATGAAATCTGAGCTAATTACAAACTCAAAATAAGAGTAGAAATAAGACTTCCAAAAAGAGAAAAATAAGATTACAATACAACCCTCAAAAAGAGAGACAAACAAAAGTTTGATCTCATCAAACTTGCATTTGAAAGGGATTAATCCCCTCGCCCGAACCTCCTAATTGGGAGTCAACGCTGGCCAATTAAGCTAGACACACATGATTGCAAGGTAGATGACAAAAATAGCACTTGTAACTATTGTGAGGTAGATGACAAGTATCTTATTTCCCAATTAAGAGATTTGCTGCTTAAACCTTAAATTTGATATGCAAAAATCACTTAGAATCATTATTTCTTATGTTAAGAGTTGGCTACAAGTTATATAAATGCAAGTTGAAAAAGTTACTAATTGGCTGTTGTAAATGCAGGTGGAGGAGGTGCAGGAAGAGGTTGAATCCTTCTTTGAAACAGTCACAAATCAAGAAAATGAGGCCCCAAAGGAAGCCAGTGAAAGTAATTGAAACAGTTTGTGGTCAAAGTGAATATTTGATGACTAGGGTCAAAATTAAGAAACGCGTGAAAACTGTAGTAGTTTATTATGATTGAAATATATTCTTTGTATTCTTTTGATTCCCAAAGTCATTGATCAAACCAACCTTTATATTATTTTATGAATGTATAACGTGTCCCACCAACAAAATGAATATATGAACAATTTTTTTTCTCTCTTTTGAACTGTCAAACCATTGCTGTTGCACTGTGATTTGAATCATCTAAAATATCTATATAATAAAGTGTAATACAATTTAAATCTCAAAAGATAAAATAAAATAATTTTTGTTATTCACAATTGAGATCTCTTTAAATTTTACTTTAAAGTTAAATTAACGACTAATATTAATACTCCAAATTTAATGTGAAAAATAGGATCCTAAGAGTGTTTTAGGTGACTTTTTAAAAGTGTTTTTAATACTTATTGATGATGCACAAATTGGTATCGTGCACGATCAACAGTTGATCGAGTATATGAAGAGATGCAATTAATGAGTAATAAATAAGATAATCAATGAAAAACAATAAATAATAGTAAATACACAGATATAGAGTAATTCAGTCCGAGTGACCTACTCCACTATCGAAAAACGGTAGCGGTGGCCAGAGGTGTTTATTGATGTATAAAAGTTACCGAGAGAATATACTCCGGGAGAATTACAATTGTTAGGAAAGAGAAGCAATGTGTGTGTAGGGATCTCAAATTGTAGAGAGGTGGGTTGATGTGCCAAGGTGTAGAGGTCTCAAGATCATGCCCTCTAAGTGGAGAGGGTTTACATTAAATAGGTTTGGTGAGGCGGTGACGTGAACGAGATGATACTATTCTTTTTGGTAAGTACAATCAAGGTAGGATTGGATTTTCATGAGTGTGTATCCCGATAGTTTCTCCCATCTCTNTTACATTAAATAGGTTTGGTGAGGCGGTGACGTGAACGAGATGATACTATTCTTTTTGGTAAGTACAATCAAGGTAGGATTGGATTTTCATGAGTGTGTATCCCGATAGTTTCTCCCATCTCTCCAAACTTCTTGGATCCTGAACTGGGTCAGACTGGGTCAAACTGGATCGGATTGGCAAAGTGGGTCAGNGTGAGGCGGTGACGTGAACGAGATGATACTATTCTTTTTGGTAAGTACAATCAAGGTAGGATTGGATTTTCATGAGTGTGTATCCCGATAGTTTCTCCCATCTCTCCAAACTTCTTGGATCCTGAACTGGGTCAGACTGGGTCAAACTGGATCGGATTGACAAAGTGGGCCAGGGCCGCCATGTAGTTGACTTAGGTCTTCTTGATTTATTGGGTCAGGCCTAGTTGATTTTGGGTTCATCACTTATAACTTCTCGTAAGTACATTAAAAAAAAATAGTGTTTGAAAACCACCCCACCAACACCTTTACTACCACCAGCCCCATCGCCCCACCATAACCACCACTGCCACCCCACCACCACCATTGTCGCCACCCCACCACCACCACTGTCACCACCCTAACACACCCATCACCCCCACTACCATCGTCACTGCTACCACTACTGCCACCCCACCATCACATCTTCCAAAACAATCACCAACACCACCCCACCATCTCCACTATCGTAACCCCACCACCACCACCCCATTAGTGCCCTACCACCACCACCGCCACTATCCCACCATCACCCTTACCACATCACTCCCACTGCCCCTAACCACCATTACCATTGTCACTTATAAATGTCACCATTATAACCAGTTATTATCATCCATCACAACTATCACCGTCTCCCACCACCATTATTGTCGCCCACCATCACTACCACAACTCGCTCTCACTATAATCAGTGATTAAATTTATTTATTTCTCATTTATCTTTATAATTTGATTTTATGTGTGAATATAAATATGTTTATTGTTGATTTTTTTTTATATCTTTGTGCCTTTAGGCACGAAAAATAACTAGTATTTTTATAATTTATTTCAATTCTAGATTCTATATCAGAAGAAATTTGATTGTGATTCATTGTATTTAAATAAGTCTGTCAAGAATATTTTTGATCCCAAAAATTGTTGACCAAGTGACTATCTGAAATGATGACTTGACAACCAACGAGAGTATTTTCGCAAGGGAAGTCGAGGATTGGAGGGGCTTTAGCTGTCGACTCTTCGATGATAAAATCATAAAAGGAATGGTGGAAGAAAACTGTATTTAGCTAGGAGTGGTCAACTTACTTGGATAAGGTCCAAGTTATCCTTTTTATAGGTCAAAAGATTGGACCATTGGAAGATCCTCAATAGCCATTTGAATGAGGCGGAACAAAAAGTTGAATAGAGCTTGGCGCTCTCTAGCGTGAATATCTCAATTGNGGCGGAACAAAAAGTTGAATAGAGCTTGGCGCTCTCTAGCGTGAATATCTCAATTGGTTTGAATTAGTCAAAGTGCGCCAAGCTAAGGAGTTGCCGAGTTAGAGTGTTTTCAAGCAAGAAGTTGAGGTCCTTTCTGAGCCACAAAGCTCGTCCATCGAGTAGCTGAGCTCGTGTCTAATCCACCATTATCAGTTGCCCCCTAATTTAGACTAGTGGATGACACGTGTCACGAATTTAATGCACTTTCTCCATTTATGACTTAAAAAAGTGGAAACGACGGTCGTGCACACACAACCAGTAGAGAGTCGATGTGGGTCCTATATGTAAAACCTTTTTTCCTTTTGCTACTCAGCACATCTTTGAGAACTCTAGGAACTCTGGTATACTCTTGCCTCTTCGTCTCTATCTCTTTTCATCTTTTTGTTTCATTGCAACTCCTCACATTGGAGCATATAGGCTAGAGCTATATCTTTCAGTTTCACTTTTATTGTTTTTGTTTTCTTAGGTGGAAGAACTTCAATCTTGATTATTTTGAATCCTTTGTTGATAGATCTATTTGAGCTCGGCTTGAATCTGTACTTTATTTCTCACTTTCTTTGATTGTTAATAGCCTCAATCTTCCCCTTCCACCAAATTTGCACATCAATCACCGTAACTTTCCTATATGGCAATTGATTCTGAGCATACCCCTCCTGAAAGCACTCCGGAGTTAGTGGCCTGGGCCAACGCAACCAACGAGGACTCTAATTCCATTGTAGAGATTGGCTCCTCGTCACTTAAGGTCATTGGGGCCAAGAACTATTGTAGTTGCCTAGATGAGGATGCTCTTCAAGAAATTAGGGCATTATATTGGATCCTTGATTTTGTGCGCCTTAGGGTCCCTTTTTCTTGTGAAATTGCCAATTCTTTTTTGCCCCATGAAGTCTGCTTTAATGAGTCCATCTTCAAAGCTAGACTTTGCTTTCCGATGCCTATATATATTAGGGAGGCCCATCATTTCTTGAATCTTGCTCCTGCCTAGTTAACCTCAAATAGTTGGGGATTCTTGATTGACATTAGTGTTATTTGGGCTAGGGCCAATGACATTGGCATGCAGCCTACCTTTGCCAAGTTCATGCAATACTGTAAACTCACCTCCCCTGCCCTGGGCAAGGTTTGTGATGGTTTGCCTTTCAAAGAGAGAAAGGTCAAGCTTGTTGATGGACTACTCTTCGAATGTGAAAGAGTGGAAGGACAAATTATTCTTTGTATTCGGCCCTAGCTGGGAATTTGGGCTTTCAAAGGCTTCCCCAAGTACATCTTTTTTTGTTCCTCGTCTATGAGATCTCCTGCCCCCTCTCTTCGTAAACAGGTTTTCTTAGATTTGGTTTTTCATGCAATTTTGTTGAACTCTCATGTTTTGTTTTCTAAGAATGCAAGTAAATCCAATCTTTTGCCTCTTGAATTAAAACTTTGGGTCAAGAAGGCACTTGACTACCCCACCAAAGATCTCACTGACCTTGCGACTGATTGAGCTATCTTTAAGTGTCTGTTGGGTCCTCCTCTGATTGACTCTAACCCTCTGACTCTCTGACTCTGGTAGTCTCTTCTTTTAAAGGTATAATTCTATCTTGTTGCAATTTGTTCTAGCTTTGATATGCCTTGATTTGTACCCATTTCCCTTTTTAGCTATGGCTCCCAAACTAGTAGGCAAAATGATCCTTCAAGAGGTTGCGGCCAGGAGGGCTTTCGAAGCTAGCCCTCCTCCTCACAAGAGGCCAAAGGTGTCATTCCATAAGGGTAAAATGACATCCCCAAGTTCCATAACCTTGTAGGTGTATCCTCCAATCTCTAATTTTATCTCGAAGGATGGTGCCAATCCTACTACTACTTTCAAATCGGTGGAACTCTTTCAACAGTCCCCTTGACCCTTCGTTAGACAAAGGCAAGGGAAAAGGTAAGATTTTTGATGTGGCTGAGGAGAAGGGCCACATTACTTTGAATCCTCCAATGGATTCAACAACTACACTATTAACATTGTGGGACAGTGTAGAAGAAGCTATGAATTGGCTCCACCAGTTCGTGCACGAGGAAGAGGTGTATGCCACTTTTGACTTAGGGCCATCCTGGGTCACCAATAATTTAACCCTTACCATGGGAAGGTGAGGCCTTTGAATATTCAAGACTTGCTTCTTTTTTCTTATTGTTCTAATCTCTTTGTCTTCACTTTTGTCTTTCCATCCTCACTACCAGCCTTTCTTACACTACCTTGGGTGAGAAGAAGGCTTATGTGGAGGAATTTCAAACCCTAAATTTCCGGCTGGAGACAAGAAATACAGAACTGATAGTGACTAAGAAAAACATTCTCCAACTCAAGAAAGAAATTGAAAAGATCCTTGGCCATCTCTCTGTTGTGGAGAAGGATTGGGATAAGGTTCTGAAGACCAAGAACGAGTTGTTGTCTCAACTAAACAATGACATAGCTTTGAGCCTCTTAGACTCAATCAGAGCTAAGCTTAAGGGAAGTTGAAGGCTCCATTATCATAAAGGAGATTAACTTAGCCGAGTTGCCTTCTTAATGATGTTTAAAAGTCGTGCATTTAGCAGTTCCAATATATCAGATAGTCATGCCGTCAAGAGTTATTTC